TATATACTTTTTTTTTTTTTTTAGTTGCCTTCTAAATCTATTTGGCTAAAAAGTGGCCCTTCAGTTTGAACAGGCATGACGCTTCTGCTCCCAAACCTGCGTCTGTATATCTCTGCATGTGGTGCCAACCTCTCCATCTGAGAGGGCGAGCGCCAACAGCTCCCATGGCAGCAAACCCCTGAGGGCGCTGCCACCCTCCCACCACCCTGCTCTTTCATTCCTGTCCCCTCCTCCCATGGCAGACCCCTCCATCATACTGTCCCGTCTCTCGCTCTCTGCCTGGTTACCATGGCTGGGCCACTAGGAATGTTTACAGTTAGGGTCACATCATTCTCGTCTGCCCGTCACTTTCGCTCTCTTTTGTACCCCACCCCCAAAACACGCCGGCCACCGCGGGTAACTTTTGTCCTGTCCGCCCCAGGGTGGTCCGCACCAGCTTATGAGGCCAATGAAATGGTGCGACCAAACCCTGCCGTGGGGTCACAGGCTCGTCAATATGGCCAGTCTGAGACTCATACAGTGCTTTAATATAAACTCACAGTCCAATCACTGTCTGGCTAGACAGAGCCTCAAAGAGTTCACTGACACAGTGGGTGACGTCTCTCGCAGCTGATCTAAGAGTTTCGCTGCCCTCGCTTCTATAGAACGATAAATAGCTTGCGAAAATTTTATGGCCTAAACTTCAACTTCAGATATGTAGTAAAATGATAAAGTTGCTTTTTAAATAAGTACTGCATAATGAATTTAGCAAACAAGCAGTGTTTTGCCTTGCACCTGCTTGCAACAATTAAGGTGTTTGGAAGGCTGATTATTTGTTCATTTTCACATGAACATCATTTTACGATGTTAAAATGAAGTGACCTGAACATCAAATGAAAGAACAAACAAACAGAACAAAAAGTAACTGGAAAAAAGCGACTGTTTAAGAGTCTTAGTGTGTTACAAACTAAAATAGTATGATGAAAACAAAAAAAATGTTCATTAACTAAACTAAAAATCAAAACTCAAGTTTACAAAACAACAACAAACCTAAAATGCGACTATAATGTTTCAGAGTGTTAGAGATTAAAACAAAACCAAATATGAATTGAATCAGAAATAATAATAATGATAATAATGTGTGTGTGTGTGTCTGTGTACAATAAATATTGTTTAATATCAATTTAATATTGATATTATTTAATATCGATAATTTTAAAATGACGTGCTTTTATCCCAATATATATATAGATTTATTAATAAATTTTATTATATACATTATTATATTTTATACATATTATATACATATACTGATACAGTACAACTATTTATGACCAACAAAAAAACTAAAAAAATATTTTTAACCAAAATAAAACTACAAAACTACAAAAAGTTTACAAAACACTGAAGTGCAATTATGTGCTCTGGACTACAAAATGAAAACAAAAATGAACTGAAAAAACTATAACAACTCCATTTGTCAAATCCCTAAATAGGCAACAAGCATAAGAACAGATAAATAGAAGTAGAAATCTAGTACACACAGATAAATATACAAATAGAAAGACAGAACCTTAGCCACCAAATGAGCTCGAGAAAAAAAAGGGAGGGAGAGAGGAAAAGATGATAGAGAGAAGGACAGAGAGAGCGATAGAGAGAGAGAGAAGGGGAGGCAGAGGCGGGAAGGAGTAATAAATAAATACAAACAATAAATAATAACACCCCCCCGCTCCCCTCCCAGCCGGCCTGACAAACACCTGCCTCCATTCTACTGGGGGATGCGTGTCTTGCGGCCTGCGACACAGTCAATAAATCGATGGGAGGCTGCTGCAGGCCTCCGGATATATCACACACACACACACACACACACACACAATCTCTCTCTGATCCAATCCAGTCTTAAGCGTTTCTCTATGAGCGTGGTATCATCTCAGCTGTGTGTGTGTTGGTGTGTTATAGCTGCATTTACAGAGGTAACGCGTGCTCTTTTTTTGTCTGTTTGTGCGAGTGCAGGTGGTGGTACAGGCTGTATTTGTCATTGCAGATATGTGTGTTTGATGATTAAGGTTACAGGCGGCATTTCAGAGGTATTAGCATTTATACGACTACAAAAAACAAACACAGGATGTCCATTTATGAATATATTAACAGTAGCTGTTGAGCGATATGAGTTTTATATGTCTCATGATAACTACAGACTAGTATAACATCTATTAGGGATGGTAAGATTCACCGATTCGCATTGATGCATTAGCATAAAAGTAAAAAATATTGTGCATCGGATACAAGTTGGCATTTGTATCATGATGCATAATTTCTAATATATTTGTATGTATCGTAGGCTATGCATCGAGATGCATATCGCATCGGCCTCAGTTATGGAGATGCACATCCCTAATATCTATGTTTGATCATTCGATACCTACTTTAAATGAAAAGGTATGCTTGAAATTTGTGTTCATGCTGTTTTAGTTGTAAAATAAATGCTAGCTGGTTCGAAATCTTATATCTATTGCAAGTACGCTCATAAATTTTAGGTAAGGCTTAAGTGTCTAAATATTTTTTGACATTAAAACTTAAACGAACGTTTACACAACATTTATTCAACATTTAACACTATAATACAGAACTGACTTAGGAACTAGCACGAGAAGAGCTAAAGTGACTAGCTTTGTGCCTTGTGACTTGCTAAGTCTGTTCTGTATCACAAACCACGGACTTGGCAACACTGGTTATTGGTTATCGGATGATCACCTCAAAACAGCCAAATGTTGTAACAGTCATTTCAATTTGTATTAAAGGGATAGTTCACCCAAAAATGAATGTTGATAACCAAACAGCTGAGGGTACCCATTGATGTCCATAGTATTTTCTTCCATACTATTGAAGTCAATGGCTACCGTTAATTGCTTGGTTACCAACATTCTTCAAAATATCATCTTTTGTGTTCAACAGAAAACAGAAACTTACACAGATTAATGGTGACAGAATCTTCATTTTTGGGTGAACTATTCCGTTAATATATTAGTTGCGGTACCAATACTGGATTTAAAGGCCTAATGCACAAACTGATAACCGAAAAACGAACTAACGTTTAAACAACATTTACTCAACATAGAACTGACTCATAATAAATTGTTTATGTTTGAGTAAATGTTCATTGAAGATTAACAGTTTGTTTTATCAGCTATTGGCTGATCTTGACAACCTCAAAATGACCAAATGTTGTAACAGCCATGTCAAATTATAAATTGTAGCATGTGACAACTAATTTGTAGCATGCAAGCGATTGTACATATGTGTGAGGGGTATAAATCCACCATGCCGTTTAATCCGAGTCTGAACATGCCAATTACACACAATAAATCAGCTATGAGCTCTCACATCGAGTGAGTGAGTTATATGAGCTGACATAACAGTGCTGAAAGCCTATTATGACAGACAACAAGCACTCTTGATGGACTTTCAGGGATTCGGTGGATCTGTGCATGTGTACTCACCTGAGGCTGCTGAGGGATATTTACAAAGCTGGGGTCTCTGGGGCCCACGCTGACAAAGCGCTGAGCGGGAGACGTGCTCGGCGTGGAGTAGGCTGTGGTGAATTAAACAAACACACACACACACACACACAAAATGAATATCAATATTGTCTCTGGAGCAGTACAGCTGTTGAGAGGAAGGCTTGATATGGACACTGCGTATGTTTGATGGGAAATTCTATTCATTATGAAAAACACTGAAGATAAGCTTTCACATGCTTGGGAAACCCGAGACACTTTACGTTCAGGATCAAGTGTTGAGTGTGTGTGTGACAGCAGGTGATGGGCTGTAGTACTCACTTGGAGAGTTGGGGGAGTTGCCGCCTCCCTCGGTGGAGGTGGAGGGAGGTTTGGAGTCTGGCACGGGCAGGGGCACGGGTCGCGCCATTGGGGGAGGCGGAGGAGGCGGCAACATGGGAGTGGGCAGGAACGGGTTGTGCACCTTCCCATGACTGCTCCCGTTGGGCTGGATAGAAAGAGCACATAAAAAACATGAAAACACACTCTGGGTATCAACTTCCAGACACATATGACTAGCAGGCACAACAGAAGTATCACACGTGCGCGTCAGGAGAATGTGCTCAGCAATTTTTCACTGCTCCTAGTCATTAAAAATTCTGCTGCTGTGCGCACTTCACCGATCATAATCTATGACCCAAACCACTCGCTGTCTCTCCTCCAGCCGTCAGGGCCACATCAGTTTGCCCAGAGCTCAAAAGGACTGGGATTTCTGTATCACATTTATATTGTCATGTAATTTGTAGTTTAAATTGCTAGGTTACCTTTTATTATTTACTTTCGAGAATGTTTATATATATGAATATTTTTTATTTATTTTATTAAATTTTTTAAATGTTGTTTTTTTATTGTTCCAATATATACATTTTATATATATATATATATATATATATATATATACACGTATAATATACATATTTTTTAACACAGATTTCAGGTTCACATTCATAATATATATATATATCAGGGATCAGAACGATTTTTAATGTAATTTACAGGAGGTTCTTATGCTCAACAAGGCTGCATTTATGTGATAAAAAATTTAATATTGTGAAATATTATTATGATGTAAAATAACGTTTTTCTATTTTAATATACATTAAAATCTCTTTTATTCCTGTGATGCAAAGCTGAATTTTCAGCATCATTACTCCAGTCTTCAGTTTCACATGATCCTTCAGAAATCATTCTAATATGCTTATTTATTATCAGTGCTGTAAACTGTTGTGCTGCTTAATATTTTTTTGGAACCTGTGATACTTTTTTTCAGGATTCTTTGATTAATAAAAAGTTAAAAAGAAGAGCATTTATTTAAAATAGAAATCTTTTCTAACAATATACACTACAGTTCAAAGTTTGGGGTCAGTAAATTTACTCTTTCTTTTTTTTGAAAGAAATTAAAACTTTTATTCAGCAAGGATGTGTTAAATTGTTAAGAAGTGATAGCAAAGATTTATTTTGTTAGAAAAGATTTATTTTGTATAAATGCTGTTTTTTTTTAACTTTTTATTCATCAAAGACTTTTTATTCATCAAAGTATCGCAGTTTCCAAAAAAATATTTGGCAGCACAACTGTTTCCAACACTTATAATTCTAATAATAAATCAGCATATTAGATTGATTTCTGAAGGATCATGTGACACTTTATACTGGAATAATGGCTGATGGAAATTCAGCTTCGCATCACAGAAATAAATTATATTTTAAAGTATATTAAAATAGAAACCATTATTTTATATTGTAATAACATTTTGCAAGATTACGTTTTTTTCAGTATTTTTGATCAAATAAATGCAGCCTTGATGAGCATAAGAGATTTCTTTAAAAAAACATTACAAGTCTTAATGATCCCAAACTTTTGAGTGGTAGTGTATATAAAAAAAACTAACCATAGAAGAAGACAGTTTTCGCTAATGCCTGCAATAGTGCCTCTTGTGGCAGCATTGAGAATGCGACACTTGTGCAGAGTAAATTTAGGGTATAAGTGCTAATCTTGTGTATAATCCTATCCATCTTGTTGTACGGATGTTTTTAACATCAATTGCACTGTACAAATGTTCAAAAGTCACTACAAACAAGACAATCTAGCCAACTTGGTGTCTATATGGATACAAAACATTTAGTGGGAGTGCGTATGTACAAAAATGCTCCTTCTTACATTAAGGAAGCCCACCTGTCCAGCTTGCTGACTACTGTCAGGGCAGACAAGTTGGACAAACTCCTTGAGCGTCTCCTGGGGGTGGTAGCGGATGGCGTGGTGGGAGAAGTACGAGCCAGGCTGCTGAATGATTGGCGATGTCGGGAAATGAAGACTTGACGGCGTGGCGTGAGGACTCGCTGCAAAGAGACAAACAGAGGAGCTTGGTCAAAAACGATAGAGGGAGAGGAAGGATGGAGAAGAAGAACTCCATGAAGAAAGGATGTGGATGTTGTGGTGGGTTTGTGCCGCGGTTGGATTGCTCATGCAGATGGGAATGTACATACAAAGGTGGAGAGTTTTTTATGGGCTTATTGGTTAAAAATAGACACACACACACTCACAAAGTGACGTAGAGGGACTTTAGTGAGGGTGGACGCCATATTTGATTTAATATAAGAGAAAATGAGGCTATGACGGACAGAAATAAAGTCTATTGCATATCTACTGACCCTCATGTCATTCCAAACCTGTATGACTTACTAACTTTCATGGAACACAAAAGAAGATATTGAAGAACAGCAGTGGAACAACAATGACTTTAAAGGTGGGGTAAGCGATTTCTGGTAGCCAATGTTGACATTTGAAATCACCAAAACAAACACGCCCCTACCCCAAAAGGGTCTCGGCCCTATTTTGATAGTTCCGCCCCACACATACGTACGTAACCCAGGCAAAGATTAGTTCTGTGAAACAAAGCAAAACCAATGTTACACCGTGTCTACTATAGAACTCATTATAATCAGTGATGCTGTCTACACCATAGATATATATATATATATATATACATATCTATGGTCTACACTGGATGCGGCATGACACGACAAATCCCCGACAGAAAACTGCTGCTGCGTTCTATTTATGACGTATTGACACAAATGTCAAATAATTTTAAAGACGTGTGCAGTGTAAATTGTCTAAGCATTAATAGTAGGGAAAGCCCCTTATACTGGAGCGTGGCCACTTATGAAGTGTTTCTTGGAGGTTATAGTACATTAAAGTATGATCATATGACTTTTTACATACGCCATGTGACCTGTAAATGCGAAAAAGCCGTTTCCATTGCAGTTTTGCGAATTAATCCTTTTTCGCATTGCCTGAAAAACCACCTCATGCGAGCGTAAAAACTTTTTTTGCAATATATGGCCGTTTTACTGAAATTGACGCGTTTCCATTAGGCGCATTTTCAATTCGCAATTTCAATTTGCGCAATATGAAGGGTAATAGAAACGTGCCTACTGACTTTAATTGTAAGGACGAAAGGTTTCTTTTAGGTTTCTCAGAAAGTACATCATACAGGTTTCGAACAACGTGTGGGTGAGTAAATAACAGGCACTTTTCACATATCTGGGGCTCTGAGAAGAAGAGGTCATCACAGTTGTGTAAACTTCTATAGTGGTGAACAGAAACTACAACGCAATGTTCAAACAAAAATCCACAATAGTGTTTCTTTGACTTTCAAAAGGAGGAAAAACATATTCAAAAATGATGTTGGTCCTTCAGCTGTTTGATTAGAAATATTTGCTACAGCAGTGTTAACCAGTTTTCTGTAATTTAATGCCTATCTAATAAATTACAAAGTATGTCAGTTTAATGTTACATATAAAAACTTGATAGATTTATAATGCTAATAACGGTGGAAACACATCACACATCATAATCTGTGAAAAGGTTTCATGATCAAATACACATTTTCTGAATTAATTTATTCCTTAAAGACATTCCGCCATATTACACAGGCTGCACTTTTATTCCACACGGTCATGTCATTGTTCAAATCAAATTAAAAATGGCATCTACTCCAACTCAGAAGGTCTGTGACAGCACACACTCACACACAATGCGTGCACCTGTTCGTAACAATGGGAAGGCACCGCAACAACCAGCTGTTCAGTCAACAACACTTGAAAACCATACGAGCACCGACAGAGAGCAAAAGAGTGTGGTACTTGGTACCATAACAGGCGCCAGATCCTTCTTTCATCCAGCATCATTACGACCGATGCGACTAATAAAATGTCTCGGTGACGCATCGGTCCTCGGCTCTCTCGCACCTTGGTGGCAGGCCTTCGGAGCACTCTGGGACTGACAGTCCTTTAATGGATCGAACCTTATCAAGTATTTAATTGTAACGGCACAATCTAATTAGGTGGCTCTTAATAGAGGTAATATTCGGTTATTGGTTATTAGTATAATGCCTGGGATGTGCGGCAGCGCGGGGTCTTTAAGCCGTGATGTATCGCAGCGGAGTTAATAAGACTCCGCACTCACCCTCTCCAATCTCTCGCTCTCTTTCAGGAGAGATGGTAAGCTGATACTACATAAACATTGTTAAAACCACAGCCCCCTGCTGCAGTAATTCACTTAGCTCTGGCCTTGATTTATGGCTCTGCCAATAGAGGGTGACTGGAAACTCTGGACGCTGGGACTGCGATGTAGCCATTGTATTTACAGTAATAATGGAATGGACGACTCCCTCTTGCCCTTCTTTTGGTGTCTTTCTCCGTCTTACCTTTCCCGACGCCGTCTTTTTGCAGCCCGGCTCTTTCTGTTGGGGGTAGGATGCAAACTTTTATGAAGGGGATGTGAAGACACGCAGGCGGTGTCTTTACCGTCCCTGGTGGATTGGATTAGCCCGAGGCGCTGCCGCAGAGACCGAACCCCGCTGAGACACACCCTTTACAAAGCTGAGTCAGGATTTGAGTGGACGACGCTCTCGTACTTAGCACAAATGCTAACAAACAAACACACACACACATTCAGAACCAGCATACACAAAAACTGCTAGTCACGTCACATAGACAAGTAATCTCGTCAGTGCAATTACCAATAAAAGTGCTCATAAGTGTTTTTTTTAAACCAATAATAATGTTGAAAAAAGTCATCTGAAATTAAAGCTCCAAAAACTTAATTTTCCAAACAGTGCAACGACTTTAATTAACAATGCTGACCAATGTGACAAGAATGTGCTAATATACATTTAATAGAATATATGTCATAATTTGAATGAAAATGTGACCAAGAGAAAAGATAACATAGCATGATATTAATGTTTTTGAGGAATATTTATATTAATTGATTAGAATAATTTATTTATATTAATTATTAATTAAATAATTGTAATTAATTAATATATACAACATATATATATATATATATATATATATATATATATATATATATATATATATATATACATATCTATAATTACAAAAATCACTCAATAGGAATGCTGCATTTAAGTCCTCCTGGGATGTTTGTACTTACAAGTTGACAAGTCGTAATTACGACGTCAGGTGCGTTCAAGTCAGTTTAGTCGGCACAAGATGGCGGTGTACCTTCTTTTAATAAATTATAAGAAAATACAACAGGGTCTGCATTTTTTTACTTGGATTTCATTAACTAGCTGCGTATATATATATATATATATACATAAAAGTTTGAATATTTGGTTTAGTTTTCATTAAATAAAATGTTATTTTTGTTGACTAGAAGCAGAGTAAAACGCACTAAAATGAATGATTATGAAATTAATGACAAAATACAGACTAAATTTAAATGATATTTTCATAAAAAGACAAACTCTGTTCAAATTAGTGCACCGCATGCAGCCAGAGCAGAACTTGGAAACCCACTGGCCCAGAGATGGCATTAAACGGCCTTTTCCATGAAATTCACGGATGCTAGCTGAAATCCAAGAGCTGACTTAATGAAACACTTGAGCAGCATATGGTTTCTGCTCCGTTATCCTAAGAAGTGGATCCAACTGGCATCGCTGCATCTATCTGGAGGCAACATGTTGAGACTGGACCGCTTTCGTGACGTTGCTCCTCGCCAAACAAAACGATTTTTCAAATGTCGTCAATCATTCGCCCTTGTGAGGACAAACGCTTACCTGTTCTGCCTTTAAATCATCACGAAGTCGGTTCTCTAGAGCCAAACGAATCGTAGATCAGTGTTACAGGTTTGGTAACCAGCTTACGTCAGCTACAGCGAAACCTACCCTGTCAATTATGCAAATTGCCCCAGTCAATTAGTGCGGAGAAAAAAAACACTTTTTTTCTTCTTCAATTGCTGACAGAATCTAAGTGTTGTGGAACGATAGCCAATTACTTAAATGGCTTGCTCCCATGTCATGTTTTTATTCATTTAATGGAGGTTACTTGGACGGAAAATTGCAAGTAAACAAAGTTTGACCATGTCTTGAGTTGTCAAAGCCACTGGACGACATAATTCACTCTAAAGGCCGTCAACTCTTCCGTCTTCAACGTTCCTCGTTCTGCTAAATGCAAGACACTGTCTCCTGCACCTTAATATTCATGTAGCGCACGGGGAAAACCCCACTGATGTGCTGAAAGAGGCTTCATGAATTAAAAAGGGGTGGTGATGAGACTAAAACCAGAACACAAGCGTGAGAGGGAGAACAGAGGCTCCGAGAGCAGCCGTGTCTTAACTATAGACACCAGGAGATCATGGGAGCCCCAGGAGAAGAGTCTGATCCTTAGAAATCACTTCTCTTTGTGCTTTATTAACCAGCGGGCTGTTCTCACAAGTGTGGCGCCACCATGTTCGAGAACATGCAGCATCAAATGGTGTTAACAGTCAAAGAGAACCTGGGGCGCAAGTTGAGTTGAAACGTAGCCTTGTTGTGGCTAAATGTTTGAGCTCTGAACATCACCCTAGGTGTGAACTAAATATTTACAGAACCCTCCTACCATGAGTAACAGCAGAAAAAAAGCAGACTGACTAGAATATCATGAGAATAACTGACTTGACTCGAGTCATTCTCCAGGACAAACCTGTTACTTATGCTAGTCAATTCAGGATTCAATACAAACACAAAATTGAAATGTTAAATTATAGTTTGTACTTGCTTCAATTATTTTATTATATATAGTCTTTTATTCTTTATTATTTGATTAAATATTATTTAGAATTATTTACTTTATTTATTATTAATAATACATTTTATAACCTATTTATTTATTTAATAGATTAATTTATTTGTATGCATGTATTTAAATATTAAGTACATAAATATTCACACATTTAAAAATATAAATTATTTTATTTCAATGGAAATTAAATGTAATACAATTGACCATGAGGCAGTTACACAGTTACATTAATATAGTTACATTTATTATAAATAAATAAATTAAAATATATAAAAAATAAAACCAGTTTGCAACAAGATAAATTATATATATATATAACTGACAGTTACATATGGAATGAATGAATGAACTGCAACAAGATAACTGACATGCACAACTTTTCAATACAAATTTGTAGCTTATTCTTGCTGTATATGCAACCAAATTAAGAACAACAACTTGTAGTCACTAAGCTCCAAGAGTGAACTTGAAAATGTAAAAAAATCATTACAAATGGCTGGTGCAGCCTTAGTCTTTGGTCTGTAATTTAAAATAGTTTGAAGTACCTGTTTGACCTCTATACTTCTATTACTAAATGGTGTCACTGATGACAAAAAAGGCACAGGCTGATCGCAGAGGTACTAGTGGGTGGCCCTAAAAGTTAGTCTGAGGGGGGTCCAGCGGACACATACCTCCCAAAGCAAATATGGAAATGATAATGATGCGCTGAAAAGGAGGCAGACTCCAGCAGCTGGTTGAGCGTGGCTCCTCTGTTGCCATTGTGCCGCCACCCACACGCGTAATAGAAAAGGCTCCGGATTAGTTCCACTTTGCAAATCGTGTTGGTTCACTGATCTTTTTTCCGCTTTCCTCAACCTTTTTTCCCCACCGGCCCATTGCTGCCAACTTTCATTGAATGGTGGATTATCAAAATAATAACTAAGGTGATAATAACAGGCTTTTTTTGATGCGATAGGCAACAGGTCTCCACTTCACCCAGTTTGAATAACACCGAAAAGGAGGGAAGAGCAAGTGTTACGAAGTTGCACGGTCAATTGAAAGGGAGGACAGATTTAGGCGGTTTCAAATATTCTTTAATGGTTTTAGAAAAAGACGTTTTCCGGCCGCCCCACCTAACCGCATAAACCAGGTTTGACTAACGTGTCGAAAAAGAGGGAGGCACTTTAAATCAATCATAGATTCATGGATTTAGCTTTTAGGAAGCACTCTTAAAGAGGCGACAAGCCTCGCCCCGTATGCATATGAAATCGCTGCCCATTTTGCGCCTAGTGTCCACATGGGCATAAAATATTAGCGATACCACTTCCAAGCATGATTTATTACTAATTGCCTCACAAATTAAGTTGTGGTTTCGACTTCAACATATTCAAAGTAATTCATGCTGGAAACAGACTCTTCAGCCCAGTTCTGTGAGCCGTTTGGCTTTATATCCAGCAAATAAAGAATATCAATAATAGAGAAAAAGCAAAAACAGGTACATTTCCACACAAACCCTTACTTTTGCATAAATGTAATCGAATACTGGACAAAATGTGCTTTGAATATGCAATGGAAAACCACAAACAAGCCAACAGACTGTAAATTCAGGAATCAGAGTTTATTTTCCTCACTATAACTCAACCATGCGAAGACAACAATATGTAGCCACTCACTGCGTGTCTTTGGGTTTGATTAAAAACCGTCCTTATCTATGACAAAACCATTCACAGCCAGTGACAATAAGGTCATGATAACCTGATCCAGGCCTCCGTCTGATAAAGCCTCGTTCGCTGGGAAAACCAACCCATGTGTAAGTCAAACTCAGAGATCCGGTTAAGTATTTACATTAAACGCATGTAAATCAAGCAGCCGGATGAGGTGATACACACTGTGGGTTGCACTCGTAAAGTGACCGCACTCACGTCCTTAGCATATTTGTCAACAAAGTCTGACTGTAACAAGCTACATATATAACTCTCCCTCACTTTTACCCACACTGCCTCAAGCCCAGTTCACACTGACAGCAAAAATCCTGGCAAGAAAAACACTTAAACAAAACAAAACACAACATGCACACACACACACACACAAAACCATAAGATTATTTTAAACTAGCTCTTTTTAGTAAATCAAAAACATACAGTACAACCAGTGTAGTCTAAATCACGAACAAATAATCATTATAATAGTTATTTTAAGTGAATCAAAACATGCAAACTTCACTTACTGAATTAACATTATTTAATATATTAAATTATAAAAGTTATCATTACTTTCCTTGATGGAATATTATATAAAATAATTTAAGTAATAAACAAACATACAAATAAATAATAAATCAAAATAACTTTACACTTTAAGTTACATTGCTTATTGTAACAAGTATAATTATACTGTATACATATACATAAGTATGTGAACTTCATATAATATTTTTTATAATTACACATTAATAAAGTAATTTTCTACAGTTTTAGATAAGAAATACAATTTAAAAAAAGTTTACTTAAAACTTCACCGAGCAGTTTTGGTTGTGCTGATTATAAAATTCCAATCAATCAATCAATCAATCAATAAATAAAATAATAACTGAACTACTGATTTTGGGCTTTGTTGCTAAGTTTTTAAAATGAATCATTTTGTAATGTATCAAGGATCGCTGCATAATTTACAGCATTAGCTGAGAGACGTTTTAACTCAAATATACCCGAATGAATCATAATTGAATCCAAATCAAATCAGAACTGAATTGGAATTGAATCAGAATCTAATCAGAATCAAATCGAATAAAGCGCTTGTGGACTGAAAAAAAAAATGCCAGTCCATATCAAGGTTGTGTTCCTGTTCATTTGCATAAAGTTGAACTCTACTCAAATTGGTCGCATCATGTCCTGATGCTTTGACACTACAAATCGCTGTCAGTGTGAACGCCCCTTCATACAGAGTCCGTTCAGACTTCAGGTTCCTACTTGTCTGGTCTAGTGTTACAAGGGACAGTGTGGAGTGTAAAGGAAACGGGGATTTGAAGGATTGTGGGAGAACTGCTGGCTGGGATTAGGGGCTTGGGGAAGAAGAGTGGTGCAGTTTGAGAAGGGTGGGGTGTTGGGACCTCACCTCTGGGTCCTGTAATGACAGGTCGATGATGGTGTGTGAATGCCGTTCGAGGGGAAGTGGTCTGCGAAGGCACAAGGCTGCTGAAACCAGACTTCTCTGACTTCTTTAATGTGGTAGGCGATGGCATCCCTGGCAAGAATGATTGATAAGTGCAATTTAATAACGCAAGGTCATGGAGATACAGGCTGGCGCAAAGGAGAGAGAGTGGATAGGAGGGTGGGTTGGTTTGTTTGGGTGGGTGAGTGGATGGGGTTCAAGACAGCAGAGGAGAGACTGTGAGGCCCAGCGGGTGGCACAGGATACACTACATAGGGCCGAACGGTGACTCCCCCAGTGCAACACAAGATCAAGTGATTAGTGTATTGATGTCTTGAGGTTAAAATGTCAACAGACATGCACACTAGGCATGACCTTTCTCAAAATAAAAGTAAGCATTATTCATCTTCTGTATAAATTTGTGCATGTAAAAACACTCATGTTGTGCATTATGAGTCTAATCAGACTTTCGAGGGCAAGCTCAAAGGAATATTATGGGTTCAGTACAAACTCACTTGACAGCATAGTGTTGATTACCACTAAAAATAATTTCCAGTTGTCCCTAATTTTCAAAAATCAGTTCTACAGTGAGACACTTACATTAGAAGTAAATCGAACCCAATTGTAATTGTTAAGATACTCAATGTAATGAGATGTAAATAATGTGTTATCATAATTTTAGTGTGAAAAAAAATTGTTGACAATGTGACAATGTGTTAACCCATAAAATGTAGGTAAAAATTATTTAAAGAGCTTTAGAACTAAAATAATGTAATAGTTTTAACAGAAGAATTAATGTGGGTGCTTTTTTTCTTTAAAGAAAACAAGGGACGAGTCTTCTTGTGGTAATCAATATTATGCCACAAATGCTGTCAGTTGAGTACAGAACCCCTAAAGAGTCATGGTAATGGGGAAAAAAAAATCAGTGTTCTCGCAAAACCTTTGCATTCCCCCAAGAAACTCTGCAGTGACTCGCAAAACATTTGTGTTCCGTTCCTTGAGAAAGTTTGCGTCTGTTCGCAAAACTTTGCCATTTCTCTGAAAAACTTAGCTTTTTCGCAAAACTTTTGCGTTTCCTAGAGAAACTTTGCATTCGTTCACAAAATGTTAGTGCTGGAAATAATACAAAGTGGAAGGACTGTATATATCAAGGTTTTTGCGAGCGAACACAACGTTTTTGAGGAAACAATACTTTTGCGAGAGAATGCAAAAATATTGTGAGTGAGCACAAAGCTTCTTGGGGGAAGGCAATACATTTCGGAGTGAATGCAACGTTTCTCACAGGAATGCAATACTTTTGTGAGAATGCAAAAGCACTTAAATATAATTTTTATTATCATATAATTTTTATTTTTCATCACCATGTCCCCTTAGAGGCTGTGTAGTTGAGTGTATCTTTGTATTATTCCTTTAAAAGTCTAATAGGTTTTCCAATTTCCTAATTTCTAAACAGTTGGTTCAAATTAATGGCAATGAGTGTAAGGTTAGTTATTAATGGTAAAAATGGCGCCTAAAAATTTGAAAACAAAACCATAAGGCCGTTTTTAAAGTATCTTATGCACCTTACCCGTGGGCTAGCAGGATGAAATGATGTAGCAATGAGCGTAACAGGATGTGGTAGAGAAAAAGAAAGAGAAAGCTGGACAGACATGGAGGGAAGAGGAGTTAGGGATGCAAAGCACACAGCATTCATATTCACAGTCTGCCAGACAGCTGTGCTTTGGCAGGGGTTAATGCGAGCAACAGTTCAGATGCACAGGCTAACATGAGCTAACTGAGAATGACTGAAGTCTGTTACTGCATGCTCAGCCACGTTAGTTCAACTCCTCCCTCCGGCATTAGCACTCCCATACTGCCTCGCTTCACTCTACCTCTCGCTCCCAGGTAAAAATAGACAGACGTGAGGGAAACCTATGGCCGATTAGTCGCTTGAGGTTAGAAATGCAAATTGATAAGAATGAACTGCAAATAGAAGGGGCAATTAGGAGGCACCGCTGGCCCATCTGTCACCCGGTCAAAGCATTTAGTCCATTCTTCTGCACTGGGACAGGATATAAGCGCTGGTCTTATGTCTTATTTCTCCCCGAGAGCAGTCCACTCACACCCCCACCACCCCCGGAGGAACAAGTTCATCCAGACGCTAGCAAATGACTTAAACCAGTGCAATTCAATCATGTGTGGCTAAAGCTGTATTAATGGTTTTAGCCGGCAGCCCTCACTCTGCCTCGTGCTTTCCACACATCTCATTCTTGTTACATCACAGCACTGGTGTGTGGGATGCCCCCCCCACAGCCTCCGATCCTATACGGAGGCCACCGCACTTATTATGAGCCTCTTATCTAGAGAGATTTTATGTCAAATAAACTGTGTTTATGCACTGTATTTGATGGCACACAGAAGTAAAACTAAAAGTTTTAAGTACGGCATTCATTCAAGAATTTTGAAATTGCAAAACTGTAACGTTCAAATGATCCACTTGCTAGTGCCCACCAGATTTACAATTTCTCAATGAGAAATATATAAAAATAAATATAATATATAAAAAATAAATACGAATAAAAAAACAAAACGAGATTTGAAGGACAGACACTCCAAATATTATCATTTAAATGAATTATTTTTAATAATAATATTATTTAATATATTCTGTTCTGCATTGTTATTATTTTTATTATTATTAAATACAATTTTTTTAATATTGCAGCATAGAATATCCTAAATAACACAACATTAAGTTAATATTAATAATAATGTTTGAGTGCCTTTTCCATTAATAATACTAACAAAAAATATTAATATTACATTTAATAATAATAAAAATAATAATAACCACCACACACAGCTCAAAGTGTTCCACTATCAACACTATATTGCAGATCCACTATAGTTCCACTATATTGCAGTTAGCTGCTTTATATCTAACTTGTTTTTAGATATGGGGAGATAAAATGTGCAGGTGCGTGTGTTTTGGTGCATTTTTGTGTGCGTGTGAGTGATTAGAAGTCATCCTTGGTTTCTCCAGCCCTCGCAGACTTCTTCCCCTTTCAGGCGCAAAAAGGAGAGAGAAAACAAGATGGAAAGAAAGACCGCATCTCTTCCCAGCACCAATGACCATTAGAGAATGGCTTTGTAATTTAAAAGGGTCACTTTAGGTCATGGAAAGGTCAACTAAGAGGTCAATGAAACTAGGAAGAGATGGTTGCTACTTCAATACGAATATGGTAAAAGATTTTAAGGAAGAAGCCATCAAGCACATTTAGCACAAATTACCAATGATTTCCAGTCTTCATTCATCAGACACACACACACACACACACACACACCGAGTGCAAAATTCCCCATTCAGCTGTTCTCATTTTCTCCTCACACTCACAAATTCAGCTCAGAATGCGTCAGAAGATCAATTTCAATGAGTACGCTGATAGCGGTGGAAGACAGAGCGGAGTGGAAACATACGGTGTCACTGGGACAGACTCAGGGTCACTTTAGGTCATGGAAAGGTCAACCAAGAGGTCAATGAAACTAGGAAGAGATGGTTGCTACTTCAATACGAATATGGTAAAAGATTTTAAGGAAGAAGCCATCAAGCACATTTAGCACAAATTACCAATGATTTCCAGTCTTCATTCATCAGACATACACACACACACACACACACCGAGTGCAAAATTCCCCATTCAGCTGTTCTCATTTTCTCCTCACACTCACAAATTCAGCTCAGAATGCATCAGAAGATCAATTTCAATGAGTACGCTGATAGCGGTGGAAGACAGAGCGGAGAGGAAACATACGATGTCACTGGGACAGACTCATCAGATGGACATGGAGCCCAGAGTAACCCAAACACTACTCACCCGAGACCATGACATAGACGAGAGAGAGACAATGACAGAATAAACAGACAGAAAGGGGTGGAAAATGGAAGGGAGCGAAGGATAATAGGATGGGAAGACAAGCAAGGGGTTAAGTCACACACATACACACTCCCATTGTCACAAGCCGCTGGAGAGGATCAAAAGAACATTAGCTATTGCAATATTAGCTATCGCTAATGCTATTTCTTAAGTACATCTTCACTTTGGATATCTTACTCACTGACTTATCAATATTTTAGCTTATCTGAAGTGGCTGTGATTCCCTGTCAATCACTTTGTGCGTTCACAGGGCAGTTGAAGCGAATCACTGAAGTTTAGTACCAAATTCAGCTTCATTAGCACTTAGCCTGTCATACGAAAATGCTAGCATGTTAGTATTAATTTTGCTGGTGTGTTGTTGCCCTCCTGCTTCATCTGTCATTAAATTGTCACTTGCTTTAAACTCAATTATATTATACTCTTCAGTAGGGTGGAGTTTTGGAAAAAGGGCGTGTTTAATTAATGTGGTTTGATGAACGCTCAGGAAGTTTAACGCTAAATTCAGCTTCATTATCGGGTAGCATGTTGCCAGAATGCTATTTTGGTAGCATTTGTTTTACAGCTGAAACAGCTAATGACCACGTTTGGACCAGCTAGACACTATATAGGAAGCTGAGTTCTTCGATTGAGTTCTGGATGTGGTTCTGAGGGGGGACATTTCGGTGCCTGTAGAGTGGTGAAGTCCAAAGAGAAAACAGAATGAAACCTGTGGGTTGGCAGACCGTTTGCTTTGATTGTGTGTGTGCAAGTGTCTGTGTTTGCTGTGGACGGGGTCCAATGTCTCGGAGTGAGTAATGAACACTTGAAAAGGTTCTGTCAGTTGGAATCAAAGCCTGGCCATAGTCAGCACTTTCCCTTCCGAGGCGTTATTACACGCTGGGTACCGGTCCTGGCCCGATTCTCCTTTTCCTTCCCTTCCTCCTTCCTCACGGCTGACAAATTGACAGAACCCAGACGGGCGAGGAGGCAATTCTGTATTGAGTGCGTCTCTCTGCTGCTCTCCATCGCTCTCGTCCTGTAGCGCTCGCCGTCCCCTCCGGCACATCAATCAGCTCTGGCCCGGCTGCAGTCGGCAGTGAATCTACCCAAACTAGTCTCAACACACACTCACTAAAATTTACAGGTGGATTATTAATGATTCAAAATATAGATATAATTACTGCTGTCTTGATTGTTCTACTATGATGTAAGTAATTACCACACAGAAACTGAAAACACAAAGTTCTGCAGATTATGAAGTACTGAAGTCTGTTAAAGGTGGGGTAAGCGATTTCTGGTAGCCAATGTTGACATTTGAAATCACCAAAACAAACACGCCCCTACCCCAAAAAGGTCTCGCCCTTATTTTGATACCCCACACATACGTACGCAACCCAGGCAACAATTAGTTCTGTGAAACAAAGCAAAACCAATGTTATGCCGTGTCTACACTGGTCACGAGCGGCGCAGCATGACAAAATACTATAGAACTCATTATAATCAGTGATGCTGTCTACACCATATACATATCTATGGTTGCTTACCCCACCTATAATTTCTATGTTCTACCTTACTATATATATATTTTTTTTATATATATTTCTGAATTACTGTTAAATTGTGTATATAACATATATTATGAAAAATGTATATATATTTCACTCATTTTTATCACACATAGACAAATATTTACTCATAATATTAATATTATGAATTATGTTACATTATAATATAGAAAATATAACAATTATATATATTCCATTTAATTATACATATAATTTATTACTACATATATATAGTTTTTTAAATTAAATTTTTAATTTTAACATTTTAATATTTAACATTTATTTTATTTAAATGTACATATTTTGACTATTTTAATCACACAGTGAACTACCAAAAAAGTATAACTTCTAATTAACTTTTTGATGTTATATATTACAGTTTATTATAACAGTATTTATTAAAGTGATTTTAGATTTTAAAAAATATCAAATATAAATCTTAGAATTGCTTGTAAATTTTCATTTTCCGAGTAGGTGGTGAGAGGTCATAGGAGTATGACTGTGGGACACTCGGCTACGTGCAGCGAGCAGAATGACAGGTAGACCTGTCACCCCATAGCCCCTACACCGGCCTACCACCTGACACCCGCTACCTGAGCAATGACAAGCACGCTGCTGCCGCGGACATACTTTAGAAAGTCTGGCTAATTTTAAACACATTGCGAACGTCTCCGCTATCAAATAAAGATAGGAGAGGCCCACACGTACACATATATAAACACAAACACACATCCAACACACTCGGGGGGAGATTCATGGAAAGCGACACAAATCAAACAGATGGCAGGCATAACAAGAGTTCGAGATGTCACAGTCGTTTAACAACATGGCTGAAAAATGGACGAAAGTCGCTGATTGGGTGAGAAATGTGATCCTGTCATGGGTGAACAAGTGATCGGGAGGTCAAATCGCACTCACTTTCTCTCTCACCCTCTTCATTTACTCACACATTCCCTCTCAAGCAAACATACACTGGAACATACTCTCACTTGCTTGGTGCCGACGCAACTGAGAAAATAACTTATTAGTGAGACGCAGCTCTAAATCAATAGCACCCCTCCGTATTCTCCATTTGTATTGCCTTTTTTCACCTTTAAATATATTAGGGATGTGTCAGAAATGTAGACTTGTCAACTAATCGTCCAATAACCAAGTAGTTCGGTTAGTGAGTTAATCCAGAATTTTTTAACTTTAATATACAGCGCAACTGATTTAAAGTGGATGAATTTAGAGGTTAGTTATTTACTTATATAAAAATAAATATAGAACGTAATTAAAATCATATAAAATAAATAAAATTATATATGTACAAAATACAAAATATGATTTAAAATTTAAATATACATTTATATTTATACAAAAATAAATATATATAAATAAATAAATAAAATAATATAAAATAAACGTACAATTATACACACACACACACACACATATATATATATATATATATATATATACGCACACATATAAGACAAAAATATTAAATTAAAATCAAATATATATAAATAATATAAAACAAATATAAAATCTAAATATATAAATCATAAAAAATATTTGACATTTAAAAAATATTATAAATTAAATATAAAAATAATTAGATTTATATGT